AAAGAGTGCACACAAGTGTGTAAAGAAAGACCAAATGTAGCGTACCCCTTCATGTAACCAGGAAGGGGAAAGCTTTTTCAGGCTACCGCCACAGAAAAGTATGTATGGTATAAGGAATAATACAAAGACTGTTAATTTGTCAATAGTTTGCGATACAGGAGACCCCTCATCTCTAAACTTCTTGCAAGTAGAATTTTTAATGCTCTTAGGAATAAATGAGGAATCCTTGTATATAGAAATCAGCCTACAGAAATACTGGTTTAATGTTTGTCCTCTTGGTCTGAAAGAATTAAATCAGTCTGTTCAGCTGTAAGCACTGTTTCAATATTTTTCTCCATTTGAGTACTAGTATTTCAAGATTTAACTTAAATACTGTAGGTTAGCAAAGTCTTTGTTTGATCCAGTAGACTGGATGTTTGAAATATGTAAACTTTTAAAGATCTTTGGTAGTTTCTTTAGCATAAGGTTTCCTTTAGGAAAAGCTAGAAACCTGCTCACCATAAATACATGCCAAAGGTGTTAAACAAGTGATTGTCTTCAGATACTCAACCTTAACTAGTATTTCCAACTCTAATGGTAAGTTTCAAAGGAAGTTACAGTGACATTTATATCTGCACCAAATAGCTTGTTGCCATTCAAACTGTTCATAGTGTGGTTCACTTCCCTTTAATACTTTTCTTATACAACGACCTTTAGAGTTCTACGATATTTGCTGTAAAATTTGAGGTGAATCATTTCCTTATGCTAACTGAAGACTTGAAGTTTCTCATTAAATACCAAAGACACTTGCATGTGAACTGGTATCATGCAATTCATGCAGGAAATTCCTTCTAGACAGTAGGCAACCGCTGATCTTTAAAACTGTAGTTGCCTGACAGCCAGGAAATCATTTAGGGCTGAGCTGGAGTTAAAAAGGTCAGCAGAAAATTGGAATACTCCTTGAACCCTTAAGAAACAAATACCTTCTGTCCATTGCTGCAGCCTTGCCTGTTGCAGAGTAGTGACTGAGGTATGGAAATAGAAATAAACACTACTGGGAGGTTTAGGCATGTGACTGACAAGTCACTTTGGTTTCATTTCCCAGGCTTCATTCTCTTACCCTGTGTCACTGTTCATTTATGTGGAAACATGTAATTGCATCAATGTAAAAAGAATCAAGCCTGCCTGGGAGGCTTTTGGTAAAATAAGAACTATGTAAAATATACAGTAAAATACTTCTTATTGTTTACAAGGATCAGAATTATTTGATGTTGGGGGGGCGAAACAACCACTCACCACCAAAAATTCTTCCTTAAAGGCACTGCTTCTGCAGTTATAATCAATTTGAAGTGCATGCGCTTAGTGCACATAACCACTAAACCTGAGGGAGGCTGCTTGAGCAATGACGCAGCGATAGATTTGCATCATCTTTTCTTCTCCTGCCAAACTGTCACCAAGGAAGTGATGCTACCACATGAATCGCAGTGCTGTTGACCAAGTCTGAACAGGTGACACTACCTCCCACTTGCCTGATATTTTACAGGAAAGCAATTGTCAAATGAAAGGCTCAAAAGCACTTTTGACATTTAAGAAGTTGACAAGGCTCCTGTAGTTCAAAGGGAAATATATTGTTCTGATAAATGAAAATGCTAAAGAGGAATGAACACCTTGCACAGCCTCATCCAGAAGCTCAGGCATTGTTACAAAGACCTCTTTTATGTATTACTATGAAATAGTGTAACACCTATCTTCTCATTTGGGTAACAGCATAGTATTCTCTATACCTTCTAATAGCAATGAGAAAGAAGATGGACAAGGGACTACCTCTTGCGCCTCCAAAATTGGTCCTATTGCTTGCTATGTTTAATTTTTTTTTAGCTACCTTGATTCCAGGTAATAATCACATAATAAATAGAACAGTATCACAGGCATCTGGGGAACATTCTCCATGAAGCCTATTTCATAAGACCTGCATAGGCCATTTCAGTCTTAACCGATATGCTAACTATCCACAGTAACAGTGTTTTAGGTTCCCACATGCTGAAGAAAAGACTTTCAGCAAGGTTGTTTAATGTTCTCATTACCTACACTAACACTCAGGTCCATGAGAAGCTGCCATTTTTACATTAGTACTTATCACTACTCAAAACAGTACGGTACACGTCTGCTCAAAGGTTTGAATTACCTGGAGCAAAGGCCTTGCTTCAAACCTTCACCAGAAGAAAGCTTTAGGAATTCCTGGTCTGGTTCCTCATATGCTCAGAATAAGCTGTTTTTCACTACGCCTTTTAAATAAAAGGGCTTGCATTAAGATTCTTTTTGTCACACAGTTACACTGAGTGGATTTGTATTGGAAGTTCTAGCTTAGATGGATTTTGTGCTTGAGGCTAGGAAGAAAAAGCATTGCCGAAGTCTCCAACAACTTTGTTATCAAGTTCTTACCTTTTCTCTGAAAAGTCTCCTTCCTTGTGTTGTTAACTGAACCCAGGGTGAGAGAAGCAGTTGCTTATTTATCCAGATTCAGTTCTGTGTGTATGAAGCTTCTTTCCTTTTCTCTTAAATTAATACAATGGAGTTGAACTTGTTATTAACCTGAGAAGAGATTCTGCTGTATAATCAAACATTATTCTAATATTACATTTGGGTTTTTCTTCTGTAAATGATTCTATATAAATAAATGCAAGTTTCACCTTTAGCAAACATAATTTGCTACATAACTTAGTAAACATAACACCATACATCCACTGAGGAGTAAACTCTTAAGTAAGCTACATATTATAAGGTTATAAGAATACAACAACATAAGGAAAACCCAACCTATCCAACCACTTACAAGTCTCTCGAGATAACCCCCTAGCACTTAAATATGTATTTAAGTACTAATATTCCCCAGGAATGAGAATTTTATTTGTGTGTTTGTCTTTATACATATACAAAATGAACACACAAACACATACGCACACACACATTTATGTTTTCAAAATGTGCGGAAATTTAATTGTTGCAAAATAAACATTTGTTACTGGCTAATTCCATAACAAGTTTTTTTTTGTTTGTTTTAAACATGTACAGTACTCCAAACTTTAAAATTGCACAGCACCAGAAGAGATACACCTGCTTGGTGGATTTTAGAGGCTATTTAACATCCTCTCAGGATGTTAAAGGAAAGGCACAAGCCATACAGCAGGTTAACCTTAGGAAAGAGGCTGAGGAAAAAGGCCATATGCCAAGGAAAGCCCAAGACCACCTACTCCTAACTATAATAAGCCCTATGCATGTTCAAGCCTAAACTTTAATGCTTTGTAGTTTCATTAACTCACAACTGACTACTGCCAGGCACAGGGAACTCTGTTTTGGTCTGTCAAGCTAGTGAATACAGAATGCATTGATATATATATGAAAAGAAACAGTGATAGAGAAAACTTCATTTAAATGTGAATAAAGAAAATAAATGGCTATAAAGTCAAATAACATACAGTTCATTCTATGTCCAGAAGCCTTTCCTATCAATTTAGTTCAACTTCAGTAGCTACTGTTGTTTCTCCTTGTACGTTCTGAGCTATACAAATATAGTTTCCAGCATCTCCGGCTTCAAAATCCTCAACAAGAAGAACACTCTTTGAGATTCTTGTGGTATGTCCGGTTCCTCTGTTTATCAATCTCCAGAAGCTTTGGATAATCACAGGCCTCTTAGACTGTTTAAAATAAAAAAAAAAAAAAAAAATCCACCCACATAAGAAAATACATGATTCTGCAAAGTGTATTTAGTGACACTACCCTATCAAAGCCTGAAGCAAGAGAGAGTAGGAGCCCAGATACAAAAGTCAGCCTTAAGTGAGGAAACTGAAGGTGTCTGGCAGTTGCAGCAACATTCCTGCATTAAATGCTGACATGTGAGTAAGTTAGGCCAAATAAGTATAATACAACAGCTCTTCCACTGTAAGCGCAGGTACTGTATATATTTAGTGATGGAGCACGTGAATGAACCCAGTTGCAGTTGTGAGCCACTTCCTAAGGTTGTGTTTGGGTACTTGATCAAATAGACAGGTTATCTTGGGGGACACACCAGGATAGACGTGAGCTTATTTTCAGACTTTCAGCGTGTCTCAAAAAGGAAGGCAGGCAGCAGTGGCATGAATGAGTTAACCAAGCTTTACCTAGTTCACTTTTAGCACAGGGAGTAGCTTTAAATCATGTGTTACAAACTTAATTCCTCCTCCTTTAGTTTCAGAAATACTGTTTTAGGTAACATACAAGCAAACGGTAACAACTCACAAATGCTTCCAAATTAATCCTCATATTACGCTTTCCAAAATACATACGTAACTTCAGAATCCAAAAATACAAACAAGGATGCATAGAGATGCCTTTTAGGTTTTGTTGTTATAACAGGTGCTTTTTTTTTTTTTCTTCTGTAACAGAATTTTCTGATGGACTGTTTATCAGGTCACGCTCCCTGGCCCCTCAGAAGTTTGCACAGGACAAGATAAGAGAAAATGGCCCAAAGACAGACTAAGGCCATTCCTTTTCTTCCAAAATCTATCATGCTAGTCAGCAACTTCAGTTATGTTGGCTTGTGCAATACCAATAACCTGGATAAAACTGGTAGGAGAGAGGTTTCTGCTTGGAAGCCATCTCCTCTTGCTTCATGAAATAGGCAGATTGGCCATTTACCAATATGACTGCTACAAGGCTTAAGCTAATAGTAGGAAAAGGGTTAGACGCTTATCTCAAGCCAAAGCTACAATCTCGGACTTGCAAAATGACCAGTACCGAAGCAGCAACCAGACTTGAAGCTTAGGGATGAGTCAGTGCAGTCAGGGAAGGCCTGGGAAGTGGCAGGCATTTACAGCTAGCAAGAACTTCTTTGAAAAACTGGTAATCTCTTCCAGAAAATCTTAACCCTTCGGAAGGAATCAAGCCCCATAGTGCTCTGCCAGCTAGAGCTCTGCTACCTCCTGTTCCCAGCCTGAAAATCAAGCACTACTTACAATCAAGTACACTGAATTCAAGCCTAAGTTCTTAAATACAGCAAGTGGAACTTCCCTGACCATACTGAAAAGTAAAGGTGAAGGCCATGTAAGGAAGGATGATGTTATTTGCTTGGTTAGGGTTCTGCTAGCCCAGTTTTTCCTCAAACTAATTGCCTTCTGCTTTGAAGTTAGTTTCAGGGAATCAGTATGCATTCACAGCAGGTGAATTAGCAATTGTCAGGGAGTGGCAAGGAAAAAAAAAACCACAAAACTACTGAGTGAAAAATTAAGAGGGAGCAGTTAGTGACTACAGAGATGAGGTGAGGGTATCTCCAGTGCAACGTACCTAGGAGCAAGCAGGGATTAAAGTGCTGCTGCTGGATCAAGTGGTAGGTGACAGCCCAGGTGCTGGGTGGGGTCATGGTAAAAAAAAAAAGCTATCACTGATCTCCCCACACAAAGCAGCAGCAATGAATGGAAACATCCAGGAACTCTGAATCTTAGAACTAACTCTGAATCTTAGACTCTGTCAGTCTTTTTCTCGCACAAAAGAAGGTGTATCTGACCAGCATCACTGATAGTCCTCTCTCATCTCCCTCGACCCACACACCTTTTTCCTTTGCAGTAGGTAAGTACTTCCTTAATAAATGTTAAGTCCCCAACAAGCATACAGTGCTTCTACTCTGACATTTACTTAATCATTTTGTTGGGACAGAAACCCAAACACAACTCTTCCCTCCCTATCCCCAGGCACAGCTGGAGCTGAGACTGTTTACTCCAGTGGATAAGCACATTAGCCCTTGCCAGGGCAGATGCAGGCCACAGGCCAAAGTCTCTCTCTCAATCCCCGTAGGTGGGGGCAGTGAGAGGGTGTAGTCCTCTGCTGATAGCACATGTGCCCTGCACTGCAGCTGCAGCATCCACAGCAAACAAAGGAGATGATTTGCACGTGTTTAGCTCTTTATTTTCGGTCAGTGCTAGAGAGGCTAACTGTAGTGCCTATGCCAGCACTGCATCAGGTGCTGCAAGATGACTGGAAGCAACCGGGCCAAGAACTTGGGCAGCCATTCAGCTGTGAAAGACGTAAAAGTAGAAAGGGGTGGACACTAATAAGATACAGAGTTTTGGAAGGTCAGGCTGAATTTAATTCCTTCAATTGCTTGTTCTTAATAATTACCGTTTGTTACAAAAGACATAGAACTGGGGTTTGTACAGCCAGTTACTACAGTCCAATAAAGAAATATCAAGGGAAGCTAAAAAAACCCAAACAAAACCACACACACAAAACACCAAACCCAAAAGCCAAATCACTCAAAGCTAACGTGATCATTTTTTCTCTTCCCCACCCAAATGAATGAATTGTTATAAAACTGTCAGAGTTAAAGCTGCACCTTGAAGGATAGAGACACTGCCATTTGTTGATGCTTATCACTCGAAGTAATGCTAAGAGCTAAATTCAGAGGAATTTAAACTGGGTGTTTAACTCCAAACACACTATTACTCTGCAGCTCCCCAAACTTGGGGGCACAGTTTTTCCTAGCATTTTACTTTACCTCACTGACAGCTGAAAGTTTCTCTGCTCATCTAGACAACTGCCCCTTTCCTTCCTAGCTTCAAATGGACACGAGAAACAGGGATTCTGCTTAACTCTTCTGGTGCTCCATCTTCAGATCACTTAATTCATGCTTATCAGTACCAAGCCCCTCACTAAATGCAGCTGAGGCTGCCCTCATTTAACAGCCAGGAACATGGCAGAGAGGGGAAGTTGGTAATTCCTTGCAAACTCTCAGTCTTCAATAGTCTTCAGCCGGAAAACTTAAAAAAAAACCCACCAAAAAAAAATTAAAAGGTAGAGGAGAAAGGGGGAATTGAAAGAACAAACTAACATCCAAGCAAGGAGTAGAAACCTGGTTCTACATGCCCAGTGCCCTCACCAGCCATTCAAATCCCTTCTGTGCTCACTTCCTCTCTCGCTGTTTTCCGCCCTGAAAAAGGCATGCACCTTCCCATGACAGCAGAGTGCTACAGTCTCTGTCTTAATGGCTACAGCAAACTTCTGGGGCTTTAGATTTTAATTTTCTCAAGCCTAGTAAGCACTGAACTCCAATCACTCACTTAAGCAATTACCTCTGCCGTTAAATTACTTAATTCTATGCTGGCTCAGGGAAACCAGTGCTGATACAAGTACCTTATGAGCAAGCTCTGTATCAGCCTTTGACAATTCAGCACCAGGAGGGCTGGCAAATGGAATAGAACATAAATCCTCAGGTCCTAGAGGATCCTTTCCCTCTCGCAAAAGGGTTCCATCTTCCAGTCCTTCCTTTGCACCTAGCCTGCTTAGGATAAAGAGCAGTAGAGATGAGGCTAGTTAAGAAACAAGTCCCCACTGGTCAGGGTGGGTAGAGGGAGGAGAGAGAGGACCATCAATGATGCTAGTCGGATACACCTTCTTTTATTAGGCCAGTGCAAGAAAAAGGACCGAAGTTCTGAGATTCACTGGATGTTTCCAGCAGATTCTTTCAGCTGAGGCTGGGCAGAAGCAGACTTCTGTGCTTCTGGATGTGAGCAACAATTAAGCTTTTCTGTGCTGTGATGATTCATGTGCCTAAGCCCTGGAGATGGAAGGGATATCAAATGCAGAGGCATCAGTGAGGCTTTGTGGCTTGCCCTAGAATAGCTTCCTGACGCTGGCTGGCTTTGACCCCATCTGAGGCTTTTCTTTGTAAACTCTGCCAGAGGCCAAGTGTCTCTGGAATGGAAACCTGAGGGAGGAGTGAGCTTTGCTGAGCTTGATTTTTGCTAACATGGGTACAGCTCTCCAGCTTCATTCCTGTGCTACTTCTAGACTCTCAGGGAAAAATGGGCTGAAGTTCAAAAGGGATGTGCTGCCTCCTCCTGCCAGCATGCCTGAGCTAGCAAGAGGCAGACACCACAATCTGAAAGAATCTTTACTCCAAATCTAGACACTAACTGGCATTCAAATCATTGCCTTTATGAAAGACAAACTATTTAAGCCAGGGCATGCATCTCTTACCTCTTGCCCTGGGTACTGCCACCTGAAGTTCACTTCTACATCTGGCTCCCCAAGGACTGTGCAGATTACATGAACGCTGTCACTGACTTCTGCTCTATTGGACGACGATGCAATTGTGGTTGAAGGCGGGCCCTTGGGAACTGATAGAAAGACAGTATTTGGAAGCAGAAAATTAGTTTCCAAAGTTAAATACACCAACAAAACTTAAGAGTCAATTTTTGCCTCAGTTTGCTTAACATCACAGGTAAGTGAAGTATACCTGCAGCTTCCCTCTCTACACTGGGAAATTGCTGGAATTTAAACCTACAAAGTTTTATCACATATACTTTTGATCAAGATTTTAAAACTCTGATTACATTACTTATTTTACTTTTTGGTTTTTAATTGTTTTCTAAACAATGTCAGCAGAAGAAACAAGAGTCGGTGTAAGCATATAGAAAACTGCACCTTACCTTCCACATACAGTAGGTGATACTTGATGGAAATCTGAGGTGCTCCCTGTGACTCTGCTTTGCAGTAGACTATACCTTTATGATCAGAAGTAGGGTGCTGGTAGACAAAACCCTTCTTTACATCGTAAATAATATCAATTCCATCTGTTTGAATTTCTTCTGCTGGAAATTCCCTGTGTAGAGTTACTTTTGCTGAAGGGGTAGTAACACGGCATGGGATGACTGCAGGTTTATCTGGGTTCAGGTAGACAATCTCAAAATAACTGGGAGTAGGTACAAAAAGTTCCTCTTTATCTGTACAGAAGAGTTGATGTTGTTAGAATAATATTACATCTTCATTTAACAGAAAGAAGAGAAAGTACATATGACAACAGGAAATAGCTATAAGCAACATTAAAAATTAACCAAAAGTTTTCTGCTTTAAATACACACACACAAAAGAAAAAAAGCGCAATTTTTCTAACCTGTGAGTATATATTTACATGGCCTGCATTAAAAACATTAAATGGAGAAGAAAAACAAAGAATTCTTCACTATAATCAGATTTTTTTAATCTTAAGAAAAATCTTTGGAATTTCTTTTTAGCAAGTTTCCAAATACTCATCTGGATCTAATTCTGTTCACTCGCTCACTTTTAAAGAGTAACACACATAGAAAACCCACCACCACTGGTAAGATAAGCACTACTAGAAAGAGATACTCTTTGGAGCTACAGCCATTTTATTATACATTATACATATGATGTTAGGCAAAATGTTTTATTTACTGCTCTAAGTAGCTGAAATTTTTAAGTGCTTTTAGAATGACAGTTAAAGAGTATTTCCATATTTGGCATGTTGCTTAGAAATACAAAGCTGGAATTCCTCTCTCTAGCATGAGCATTTATATAACAACTTGACTGAAAAGTTTATTCCAGCCTTTCTAAAGGAATGTATCCTCAGAACATTATGCACTTCTGATAAATGGCTCCTGCACAGTCTCATGGTCTAATTTAGCTCCAAAACAGATCACAAACAATCCTATCTTAGCACTTTGTACTGAAATATTTTCTAGCCAAGAACGCTTCAGCTCTCGCAGGCAGCAAAGGTTGTTTTACCATTCAGAATGTTTTCCATGAGAGGAATAAATTAACCATTTGATTTCATCTCTGTTGCACCAAGTAGCAGTGCACTGTGCACAGTTACCTACTATGACCCTACCCATGCAGTGTCAGGGCTACAATCAACCTCAAGCTCTGAGGGACAACACATGAACTTAAGAGTGTTTTGCATCTCAACACACTATAGAGACTCTTGGGAGAAACGGTGGCCTTACCAAGATCAACAAGGTCAAGTTTAAGTCAGTGCAGGTAACTGGAAGGGGGCAGGGGAAGAATCCACATGGTCATCTGAATGCCATGACAAAATGAATCTTCTGCACAGATTTGTTTTCTTTATCCAGACACATTTTCAAAAACTAAACCTTTTTTTTATTCATTTTGTAGAAGTTCCTCAGAACATGTGTTAGTATTTTCAAAGGTATTTGCTTTCCGTTGCATTATGCATTATTTTGGGTACACATTTAGCATAATCCATAGGGAAACTGGACTCAAAGTCACCCTCAGCAAGTAATTTTCTGCTCACCAGCACTGTCTTCCTTAACATCCACTAAAAAAAGATGAAAATTGTGGAAGAAAAATCTTGACAGTGAAATTGCTGATGTACTTTGTAGTAGCTTTATTCCTGTCTTGCTAGCAAATACATTCCTATTAATAACCCCCCAGTGAGTTAATTACCTGTAAAAAAGATGTACGTTGAACCTGTTTTAGTCTCATCCTTCCTGCATTTGTTACCATTGCACAGCTGAAGCCAGCAGCTATATTCACCTGTGTCTGCTGCAGTGGAGTTTGCAAGGATCAGCTGACTGTACCTGTCAAGCTGCTTTATACTGGGGAGAAGAAAACAAAAGGCACAGACAAGCACAGTTGTATTTTATGATACATTTCTGTCAGCTCACTTGTACTTTTGAATTTTTTACTCTTTCTCTGCAACTGACCCACCTTTTGCTTTCAGAGCTATGTTCCAACTTCCCCTTATGCTCCAGCAAAGGCCTGCTTACATGAGTAGCTCTATTGATTTCAACTACACACAAGCACTTGCAAGATTTTCTCTTGTACAGTTCATTCTTGGATTCCTTTCAGTTCCCACTTTGAAACTGGGCTGTGACTGCTGCAGACAGTATGTTTTTCTGTGTCTTGTCTCAGTTTTTCCATGTGTATCCCATATTTTCATGCTCCCAAGTCAACCTGCACACATCAGTCCTTTTTTGATACTGTAGCACTGCTTCAATCGTATATGACACAGACACATCAGGAGTAGTAAGTAGCAGGTACTTCAGTAAGAATGTTTGAGATGATTTCTGCCCATTTCACACTTCCATTGTGAACCCTTTTCCATCTTTAACATACTGATCTAAGTTTCCACTTGCAAACACCATCATAAGGAGCTTCTATCTCAGCTTGGATTTGTTCTGCAAGTCTGTCATTTTGCATTGCCTACTCCTCTGCACTAAGCCACCTCACTGGAGTTTCCTCATCATGCCTCAGCTATTTCAAAGCATGACCCCAAGAACTGCTGGAGGTGTACTGGCAGTGTCATCATTTAACTACACAAAATTCAGCCTGGGTGATTATTTCAGACTTGGTTTGCTTTTTTCTCCTTCTCCAGAGTTTCCCAGATGCATCTCTCAGTGGACTGACATTTGTAAATGTGCAAATATTTATAAATATGTATACATATGTAGATACTGACAATGCTTCCAAGGGTCAAAGGTCCTATCTATGCAATTCAGCAGCTACAATCTCTTTCATTTTTTTATTATAAGTTTTGTTTTCCCGGTTCTTTCTTGCAGACAGATGGCAGTCTGCTGTGTTGCCTTTTTATGGATTGCAAAAGCAATGGTCCAGCAGTACCAGTTCTCAGGGATCAGCCACGTGGCAGTACTGATGCAATCCACTGCTGCTCTGACCCTTAAAAATGTTATTTTCAACCACCTGCTTCTACTCATAGCACATCCAGAAGACGAAGTTTTCCCAGCTTTCCTTTACAAGGTACCGAGTTAGAAAGTCATCTCTGTTCTGACCAAGTCAAGATTTTTCCAGCTTTATGCATTTGATAGCAAACGTCTGTCCAGTGTTTCAAATGGGGTCTGGACAAATACGTAGCTTGCATGAAGTCTGAACAGCTCCCATACTCTTATTCAATGATACTGTATGATACTTACATACATACATGATATATATTCAATGATACTATTCAATGGTAGGTTCTTTGAGGATTTACATAGAAGAAATGTCCTATTTCTTCTTATTAATGTGGCAGTTATTCTGTAAGGCAGATGTCTGACCGAATAGTTTATTTCTGGGATTAGCATGCTTTGAAGAAATTTTTCTCCTCTAAAACACCTTGTCACTGCATAACAGCAGTACTACAGACATGCCTGACAGCACTGTATGCTCTAAATGCTGGTTTGCTTATTGCAGGCAGAATAACTGCTTAAACAGAGAGGCCACTACTTCCAGCTACACACACTTCCCAAAATTTCTGACTCCCTAGGTGTTCTGCTAGCAGTTTGCACTACTACCAGCAATCATAAGCAACAGTTCATGTAACCCAACATTCGGCCTCCAGCCAAGGCCAGTAGCTCAGAAATTAAAAACACATCAAATATACAACCCAAACAGGGCTAACTGAGAATTATTTTTTCCATTAAAGCCCTCATACACCATTAGGACACTCATCTACCATGGGGCAGTGTTGAGGCCTGCCTAAGGAAACAGGCAAATCATGTTTCCTACTCACTAACACCCTTGTCCTACATGACCTCATCTGATTCCACTTTTTGGAATCATGTCATTATGGAGTAGTAGCATTTTCATTTTTAATATATACACTTTTAATATATACACTTATATATATTATATATATACACTTATATATAATATATACACTTTTAATATATACACAATATATACATTTTTAATATATACACTACTTAAATTATTAATTATCTCCAGGTTTTTTAATAAGCTTTGAGAGATTTCTCTTTGTGCAAGAGATCCTGTGGTGTATCATACCGAACAGGAAGAAAAGAGAAATCCAAAACACATCCTAGTCTGTATTACTATTTTTTAGTTTCACAGTTCACATTTCATAGGCTACATGACTACATCAGCACAAAATGTTTTGCAAGTATCCAGTACTAAATGTCAACATTACAGAGAAACCATTATGCCAGAACATTTTTGCCTCCAACCATTAATGCAGACACTGAACTATAGCTCAAAATCACAACAGACAGAAAAATAAGGTCAGAGTTAATTAATTATTGTACAGTGTGTTCCACTTAACTGAGAACAAGCTATCCAGTAATCAATGGAAATAGCCTAACGAGGTAGTCATCCATAAGCATGCACTAACAAAACCTGGCAACTGAGACTGGAAGTGTTGAAACTTGTGACATGACCATATTAAGCAGACGAAACAAGCCATATAAAGTAAATTATAAATGATAAGTCCTGCGGCTGATCAATACTTCCAGGATAACTTTTATTTCACTAATATTTTCGATGCTGGGAAATCTGACTCAAAACCCAAAATTTTGCTGTGCTCTACATATCACAAAGTAAAAATGTTGTATATACAAACATCTCAAGACTGTTTAAAGAAACTAGAAAACTACTCCAAAATCTTATTCCATACATTCATCTTATTAAGCTTTAGTTATCTGAAGTTCAAAACATCTTTGCCAGAAAAACTATGCCAAGTCTAGAAGCTAAAGAAAAAAAAAAAGACAAAAAGACAGTGTACATAGCATCACTCAGAGCATTTAGCAAACTCCTCTCAAGCAGCTGCATTCATACTGACAAAAGAGAGCTTATCTCAAATACAAGCTCACTAGGAGAGGAACTAACATCTTACTGTTCAACACAAGACAAAAATCCCCAGCTCTCAGACTTCAGAGCACATAGAACAAAATGAAATTCAGTTACACACATCAGCACAACCGACATCCCACTAAGCCAGCAGGAGCCTGCACTCACTGAAAGCAGTCTGATTTTGCCTTCTACAACATAGTTTCCTTGATACTTGTGAGAGTGCTCCTGTCCATAAGCCCCCCGCACGCACAAATGTGCGTGTGATGCATGCCCAACTCTTTGCCCTAGCTTCATCCGCTGGAGCAGTTCCATTTCACATAAGTTTATCTATCAGATGACGGTCTGTGATAAATACAGCTGGTCTTCAAGTGAGAGACCCATGCTCCAAGTCAGACAGAGCAGAAACTATGTGAAGTTAGGCTGCCTTCATCTAGAGCTGCTTTTTTGCTGTAAAGCGTAAGAAAGGGAAAATGTGCTTGCCCTTTTTTTTGTTTCATCCTTCTCAGCTTTTGATCTTTCTACCACATTTTATATCCAGTTTCTGGGTCAGTCTATAGTCATTAATTTGTTATGCACAGTCTTACAAAACAGCATTCCAGGCCTTTTGTTCTGGAGGTGCACCAGCTACCTTTGACCATTACCACCACCAGATTTTTGGCCAGTTCAGCCAGTACACAAAATTTTCAGGCAAAAAGTTATCTGTGGGGTGTATTTATGCTGCACAAGGCAAGACAGCATTACAGATAATAAGCTAGTCCTGAAGCAAGCTGGTGTGTGTCCTTAACTTGGGAGCCAAGTTTGCATGATTCTAGCTTTCTCTCCAGTGTAGCATGCAGTGCAACTGTCTCTAATGCTAAGTAAATCAATTCAGCATGTACTGTTATTTACTCCAATTAGGATAACGTAAAGAGATGATTTCTCCTCTGGCTCAACAAGAGACAGCCAAAGAGTCGTCCTCCTCCTTTTCACTCAGTGTCTTTCCCTCATCCCATATGATAGTTTTAGCATATGTTAACTGCTACAGAGCTATTAAAAACTGAGACTCTCTAGTACAGCAAGCAAAAATATTTTATTTGCCAGGTTGTAAAGTATACCTACAAAGACAAACTCAAAGAAAGCATAGCCACTAACACTACAGAAATGGCTTTCTAATTATAATCTCTTCCTTCTTAGAAAAGTCATATTGTCCTCCAGGCTGCTGTATTCTCCTTACCATATGGGTAAGTTAAAAACATGATAAGCACGGAATGGAGACAAAACATCTGGCTTTTATCCCTACTTCTTTTTGCAGCCACCCATAGGAAATACATTATGTAGATGCCAAATTTAACTAGTTGCAAACTAAAACACTCTTTTCTCCCAGAACTGCAGACAGGAAACAGAATGCAGTGAGCGTGCATCTTCAGAATCAGCTCCTGCCCTGGACCTCTGCTGTTAACAAACCCTCTGACTAACTGAGCTACAAAAGCCTTAATTTCTCTTCTGCCTCCTGTAATTGCCATTCTGTTAGATGCCAGGGTCCTTAAAGCCTCCACTTGTAGGACCCAGAGTTAGAGAATGTTAGGAGTTCCCAGGAGATGTGAAACACTTCGCTTATTGTTAAAATGCCCACTAGACCAGTTGAATTTGTACATCCCTCCTATTATTTAAAAGAAAAACAGGAATTGGATGCCTGAGCATCTGTTGCTGTAGAGACCTACAAATGAACAAAAGAATGATAGTCATTAGTCCCTAGCAATTGCATGGACCTCATCGCCATTGCTCCTGCTCCTCACCTACCCTCCAGGCCCAGCAACCTGTTCCTCCTTCACTTTCCATTACCTCCTCAGACCCCAACCACTTCCCCTCTGCTGCTGCCACCGATTCTGGTTTGCACCAGTGCCCCAACTCCAGAGAGACCAGCATGGAAATCCAAGGTAAAAGCCCAGCCCAGTTCATTAGCCCAGGTTTCACTCCACACCTCGCTAGTTGATAATGAAGGGATTAACTTATACTTGGTTTTTAAGAACTCAAAAAAGTTAGTAGATACTGGACATATATCTATCCAGATGATTAAACAATTTTTGCTGTAGATTATTTGCTAATAATTTCTCTGATTCCCCCCCCCCCTTGCCCCACACTCAGCATTTCGTTTTAAAATAATGAGTGTCATATATTCATAACATTTTAAAATTTGCCTATTGTAGTTGGTGCATGGTCTTTTGTATGCCACTAGGAAGATCTAAGCTCCTCTTGAAAGCTGCTAACGTTGTTAATAACCTTCTCTGCTGCCAGTTCACTTACAAACACTACCAACGGAGCTAACTAAATAACATGCTTTCTTTATGATATTTCCAGGCAAATTCAATCAAAGACTTCTAAAGCCACGGATTATAAATTTCATATTTCACATTCTATAAAGCAGACTTTGTTTCATATCCATCTATTAGCACCACAGCAAAGATCTTCAAATAATTACCAAAGTCATGCTAAAAAGTGATGAAAATAACTGCACGAGATTCTGTGCAGATTCAATGTCTCCATAAATTATTACTATTCTATGAACTCTGAAATGTGTACTAATCTATGTTTTCAATTTCTCTAGTTAATTATAGGGTCTTCTGCTTAAATTCAAAATTGTTAATTCAGTTCAACTCAGCCTTACTGCTTCAATAACTTATTTCAAAATTATTTTTCTAAAGCAAAGATCATTATATTTCAATATAGACCCTTAAATATAAACCTAACATACTTGTGAAAGAAAATAAATACTTAGGCAAGTTATATCCACCCAGCCAAAACGTTTTATAGCATTTATTTTGTGTGACGTTATTAACTTTTGTTATATGGTTAAAATACTACAAATACTGTGAACTTGAATGAGAACAGAAAGGCAAATTGCTGAGGTAAACTACTTTAAATTACAAAAATGCCAAACTACACAATTAGAAAATGTGTATCTTTTTACCCCCAAACTACCTTAAATGCTTGTATTTTGTCCCATGTACATCACTAGAACAGTATTTCATTTTGCAAGAGAGGAACAGACAGTCAAACAAATAATGGAGCAGCAGATTCCTCTCCAAACAACAAATACTTGCCCTGCCTTCTTCCATGCCAGATGCTAATAACCAGATAACATGACCTGGAGGTCTACAGGACCAAATCATGCCAGCAACCTATTTGCACATGCACAAAACATAAGATACACTTGAAAACGACAACCACCCCCACCACACACACGCTCCCTGTTGATGTTATTTTGCATGTTCAGCTCTGGCTCGCTGGAAGGCCAGGTCTGTACTGCAGCTGACAAACGCCACCTACTGGAATAAACCCGATAAAACATTATTTCTTGCAAAAGCAAAAGCAGTAGTTGTTTAAATCGGTGGCAAGATCTTTTGAGACATTGCTGTGATAAGCCCTCAGCAGAAACAGGCTTGCTGCTGTAACGTACTATGGGAGAAGCTTTGCACTAGCTACAGAGGTTTATTCAGCCAGTGTCATTCTCCAACTGCTGAGAATCACAGAATCATTAAGGTTGGAACAGACCTTTAAGATCAAGTCCAACCATCAACCCAACACCACCACACCCACTAAACCACGTCCCGAAGTGCCACATCCACATGTTTTTTGCGTACTTCCAGTGATGGTGACTCCACCACCTCCCTGGGCAGCCTGTTCCGATGCTTGACCACACTCTCCGAAAAGAAATTGTTCCTCTTATCCAGCCTAAACCTCCCCTGGTGCAACTTGAGGCCATTTTCTCTCATCCTATCACTTGTTACTTGGGAGAAGAGACCAATACCCACCTCACCACAACCCCCTTGCAGGTAGTTGTAGACAGCAATAAGGTCTCCCCTCAGCCTCTTCTTCTCCAGACTGAACCCCACTTCCCTCAGCCGCTCCTCATAAGACTTGTGCTCCAGACCCCTCACCAGCTTCGTTGCCCTTCTCTGGACACACTCCAGCAACTCAATGTCCTTCTTGTAGTGAGGGGTGCAAGACTGAACACAGTATTTGAGGTGCGGCCTCACCAGTGCCGAGTACAGGGGCACGATCACTTCCCTACTCCTGCTGGCCACACTAGTTCTGATACAGGCCAGGATGCTATTGGCCTTCTTGGCCACCTGGGCACACTGCCGGCTCATATTCAGCCGGTTGTCAACCAGCACCCCAAGTCCTTGTCCACCAGGCAGCTCTCCAGCCACTCCTCCCCAAGCCTGTAGCGTTGCATGGGGTTGTTGTGACCCAAGTGCAGGAGACAGCACTTGGCCTTATTAAACCTCATACAGTTGACCTCTGCTCATCAATCCAGCCTGTCCAGATCCCTCTGCAGAGTCCTCTTGCCCTTGGGCTGATCAACACTCCCACCCAACTTGGTATCATCTGCAAACTTACTGAGAGACCACTCGACTCCCTCATCCAGGTCATCAATAAAGATACTAAGCAAGACCAGCCCCAAAACTGAGCCTTGGGGAACACCACTTATAACTGGCTGCCAACTGGATTTAACTCCATTAAATCAGGGAGTTAATTTGCTGTCAAGGGACAAGCAAATAAACACTCAGAGAAGTGGCTCATGAATTTCAGAAGGATATGCTAAAGATCACAGTGTATAACTGCCAATCTTCAACACTCCTCTTTGAAAAGAGAAGTGGAAAGGAGAAGAACATACCTAAAAAATTAATTGAGTGATTTTAAGGTAGCATCATACCTGTAAATAAGTGAAATGGATCACAGAGATTCAGATAACCTCAGTTATTTATAAAGAGCATACACACTTGTTCTTAATTTAGGAACAAAAGGACAATAGGAGTTGATACCTTTGCTCGTACCCCCGTGCCCCTCTCAGGTGTAAAAGCACCTTACAGTTCTTTCTTAGGGCATTGTTCACAGTGCTCCACAGTCTCCTCACTGACTTTCATGGACACATTAAGATCCATAAAACAGCTACTGAAAACAAACACTACCCACGGAAAAAAAAAATGCCTGTGGAAGACATCCTTAAGCTCCTTATAGGTCCCTCTTTTTTCAAATACATAACTAAATTAGTACATTTAATCTACATTTAGCTATGTGTACTATCCTCAAAAACTGGGAAGGCAAACAAATGTATGGGTTTTTGGAGATGTTTAGAGGAACACGACACACACCTGGTGGGGCAGGGAAAGGGAGAGAGTCTTCAGTTCCTCCACCTGCTCTAACAACTATTTATGCAGTTTCCATTAAGATGTCACTAGATGAAAGAAAAAGCTTTCCCAAACCCAAGATGACTACCCCCAGCATTAAACTCTGCCACACCACAAAGCTTGCAATACCTTTTGCACACAAAGGTAACTTTGACTGAAAAAGTAAAGACTACTCTTACTTGCTCGTTAGCATGGCAGTTGGCATGTTTCTGCTAGTTGAGAGATGTGGGTTTGAGCCTCTTCAGGAAATTAGTTTTAGTGTCTCAGGTGGTAGCTACATTAGCAACCAGCACAGCCCACCAGGAGCAGTGCTCTGTACAGCAACAGAGTTGATAGTGAGTACCTGACATCCACACTCCTATGTTTTGAGAGTTTTATTTCAGACTAGCTCTGATGCAGTTCCCTGTTAGTGGTTGAAGCCCACTGGTGCCCTGCTCAACCACATCTATTTTAGATTAATCTGAAGGAAACACAGTTCACATGCTACAAGACTATTCCACAGGGCAAACCAGAGGGCAGTAATTGGTGATGACTGAAAGATGCTCATCCTTTTTTGTGACATTAGAAACCACTAGGTGGAACATCTTGATTGCAAAAATGTAAACAAACAAACTAAAAAACCCCAATGGTATTGACAGTGGTAGGGAAAAAGCGCTCTGGATTATTTTTTTCAAAAAAAAATTGAAAAATAGCGTACCTGAGTCTGGAGTCTTTAAAGGTGTCTAAGTATGAAGGATAGTTCCAAGTAACATTACTCCCCTTACATCGCAGTTCCATGCTTTGTCCTGCAGACAGGCTTAAAGTGGCAGCTAGTTTCTGGAAACGACCTTTATCCATCACCTGTGTCAATATGGACTGGGACTTCAAAGAGGAGTCAGCAGATTCCCTCTCCTTCATTTTGTGGGTTTTGGGTTTTACTTTTTTGTTAACAGGCTTAATTTTGTTCTCCCCAGGTTCTTTTGGATGCTTGCTCTTCACAGGCTGTCCAATAACTAGCAAAATAAAGAAATGAAGGCGATATTACTGATTGGAAAAAGGTTATATAGTCTTTTTGGAAAAAAAAAAAAACCAACAACAAACTCTATTATTATCACAGAGAATAACGAAAGGTTTTGGTCTTCCTACACAGGATTCATAAAAATGAGTAAGAGTTAATTTCACAAGTTTTTGAAGTCTCCAGTGTGACCCGTTTTCCTGGGGAAAAAGGAAAAAAAAAAGCTTTCAACATGTGGAAAATCTATACTTACAGTTCACATAAACAGACAAATATGTAAGGTATGAGAACTTTACAAATGGGAACGGAAAGAAATACAGCATTTCTATCTCCAGTTACTTTTGTCACTTCTACCTCATGTCATTGCCATTTAGTAGGTAATGCTACACACAAGTTCTCTGTCTTCACCAGGATGTCGCACATCCATCAATTCTGCATAACCTTTTCACACACCATGTTACCTTAAGAGACACATGAACAAAAACTGGCAAGTGTGGAACTTCATGACTATTTATAAACTACGGACAGTGATGTTTTCTTCTTTTACAGTAAGTACTGTAAAGACACAAATTGCACCTAAGTCACTTGAAAGCAGCATTTAATTCATCACTTCTCTGTAGCAGCCATTTATTTTGATAGTCCAGATGAAAACAGAACCTTACTTACAGGCAAACGGCAAGAGACTTCGTTACCTGCTAGAGACAACAGGGATGCCCAGCTGCCTTTAAAAACAAAGCAAACAAAAGGGAAAGGAAAAGTGAGGTGTCTTAAGTTAAAAAAAAAAACAAACTAAAAAATCATTACCTGACAGCAGGAAGCACAGACTTTTTGTGACATGAGCCTGAAACTGCTGTCCCCAGACACCAAAAACTCCACTAACTGTGCCTGACAGATAATTCACATTGAACACTGCTTTTCCACACGAAAATGCTCCGTTATTTTATTGTACAAATCAATCAACGAGCTCCCCTGGTATTAAAAATAGCCCTGCTGTATACTGAGGTAGCATGAATTAAAACTGGTAGTGGCTGCAGTATGAACAGCAGCACTTCCAGACTCCTGCCACTGATGGCTCCCATGACATTCCTCATACCCCAGCTGGACACCTGGCACTGCTTCAGCCTTCCACTTCTCCAAGTCCAGGCTGATGCATACCACCTCTCTTAAATGGGACAGAGCCTTGTGAGCACAAATTTAAAAACCAGGAAATTCAATCTAAACATAAGAGAACACTTTTTACTGTGAGGCTGGTCAAGCACTGGCACAGGCTGCCCGGAGCGGTTGTGAAGTCCCTGTATATCCATGGAGATACTCAAAACCCAACTGGACACGGTCCTAGGGGGCCCTACTTGAACACGGGGTTGGACAGAATGATCCCAGGAGGTCTTTTCCAACCTCAACCATTCTGTGGCTCCATGATCTCAGCAAGCAGAGTAAGGCTGCCTGTGTAGGAGCATTTGCCTTCTGGTCTCACACTAACTGGAAAATAAACTGGAAGACAGCAATGCTGTAGTCAACTTAGTTTGCCCAATGCATTTTGAACTCTTTTGGACTCTCGTGTAGTAAGAATAATTTTTTTGAGAGCACACAGTTACTAAGGTACATTCCTCCCCCACCACATGAACATTTTGCACAGTTCTACTTTATAAACATTGGTGAAGTTGATTGCAAAGATGACTCATCACCTTAAAATGAGCCACAAACTGAAGAGATAAATAGAAATGCCTTCCAAAGATCACGACATTTTAAGATAGAGAGTAACATTTTCTAGTTTCTGGAAGGGAGAGTGAAACAAATATTTATGTTTCTTCCAATTCTTCTTCACACCTGTGGAAATGCAAAATTGCCAGACTTGGGGTATGATGATAACAAAGGGGAATTTCAGAGAAGTGGTTGCTGCCTCTCATGGAAGACCGTAAAGCAGGGTTTTTCTAGTTACTGAGAGCACACTATCCTCACGAGTGACACACTGCCTATTATACAGGGGCAAACAGTTGTTGCAGGAGCACTTTCTCCCTGCATTACATTAGAATGGCTACAGGCCAAATATCTACCTAGCCAACATCTTGCACTGACAGCACCCAGCATCAGATGTCAACCACAGAACAGGGCAACCATCTCTGCTCCTTTGATACTAGTGTCCTAGCTTCCAAGAAGCTTTAGCTGAAGGGATCTGTGAGCCACAGTTGCCATCGTTTTGTTGTCGTTGGTGGATTTTTCCTTCATTAATTTGCCTGGTCAATTTTCAAAACTACACAAGTCATACATAAATATTAGATGCCTCCTAGTTTTTGTGTTAAGGGTATTAATACCGACTGTTTCTCCAACAACTTTCTCTGTGGCACTTGTACTTTTACAGAACGTGTGTCCTTCAAACACATCCCTTCCGGACTGGCAAGTCCTACTCTATGTAATTGTTCCTTGTAAAGAATATGCATCTTACAACAGTTCATGTCTGGGTAATAGAAAGAAGACAAAAGCAGACTGTGCACCTGGTTCAAGATATGGTCAAATCACAGTTGTACATATTAGTGGTGTCTTCTTTCCTATCTAAATAGTTCGTTGCTTTTCAAGAAAGCAGTATTAGGAGCTGACTTTCTCAAGAACAATCAAGTATAACTCTAAGATCACTTTCCTAAGTAGGAATTATTGGTTAGAAATTACTAAGTAGAAGCCCATCAATGTGTATATAAAGTTAGAATAATTTGTGTTACTTTGCGTCTACCAACACAAAATTTCAAGTCCTATTTTCACTGCCAAGTCTTTCAAAATGGAGAGATCCTTCTGCAACTCTTTACTGACAGTTTTCTTTTAGCAGATTTATACATTTGAAACATGAAAAGCATGTGCCCTACAAGATCCCTGTGAAATTCAACTTGATAAAAACAATTCTATGCCCATACTGCAAAAACTGAAGATTAACTCCTACTCTTTGTTTTCTATGAGTTATTACTCTATAAGAGGTCTTCCTTTGCCTCACAGCACCTTGGTTCCCATGGAGTCTTTAATAGGCTTATCAAAAGCCTTTGGGAATCCAAGTACATCAACCAATTCATCCATGGCCACATTTATAAAGTCCTTCAGAAACTTAGCAGACAAAACACACTTCTGAAGGGGGAAGAAAAAAACAAAAGGCAGCAGCCATACAAAGTCATGCTGACTCTTCTGTAATTCATACCTATTCATTCACAAGTTCAATTTACAGAATACAGAGATCTGGCTTTGTGCCTGTACCTCCCTCAAAAATTTTAACATACTGGCGTTATTTCCATTTCCCTGAAAAGGCGTAGTAGTTATGTGACAGTTTATGCACCTGAGTTAAGACTTCAGCGATTTCAGATTCAAATTTCTTTTAAGTCTCAGGTGTAGGTTATCAAATCATGGCACTTAAACACTGTTCATGTTGTTGATTTTCTCTAAAACCAATTGTTTTGGCATATTAATGAGACACATCCTCTAACAATTCTCCCATAAAGAATCTGTCTCAGAGTCTGCTATTACAGTGCTCAGTAGGATACAGCACTCAAAGTTTCTGACATGCTTATCATGTCACCATTTTCCATTAAAACCTCCCTAAGCACCTCCATAGTGAACATGGGTGCACACAAATACTTAAATTTTGAATTCTAAGTTTTACTTTCTATAGGTGTTCTTTTTTATCCCCTGTTCCAGGGGGGATTTACAGCTTTACATCTCTCCCTGCCCCACCCCAGCACATCAGAAGAAGAAAAGGATTTATGGCTGGTTTTATCCCTTTCGCAAGCTGTTATTCAAACTCCTTTTGTCTGCCTTATTCTGGTTTTTATATTTAACCCATATGCGAGTTAACGAGCCTCCTCATCTTCTGTAATTCCCCCTTATGAAATTAAACGCATCAGTTGTTTCTTTGGCTTTTATTACTCCTGCAAGAATATTAAAACTACAGTCTGGCTGTTCTAAAGCAACATCTGAATCCAATTACCTGAGTACTGCTCCTGATCAAGTCAAGAATTGCTGCTTTTTCGAGGCTTCTCTGAGTAGCGGCTCTAAGAACTCATCAGTTGTGGCATCTAAACAATTGCACTTGGCGTCACACCCCGACATGTGTGATCCAACCTACATGAGGATAAGTAATTCTTCCTTTTGCTTTTCTATCCAGTCCTTGCTGCCCCTCTGATTTTCTTTAACAGAGCAGTCATTCCCTCCATCATGTTGGGTGGTCAGCAACCAGGTTGTTAGTTCTCCACAGGGCTGATATTTCAGTCCAGATGACTTTTACTGACAAAACCTACCATGAATCAGTTAACACTAAAGCTTTCTTCAATACATACTGCTACCTCTCCCCTGGGTTGACCTATTCCCTCTTTCCTGTGTAATTTGTGCCCTAGTATTAGAAAGCCCCACTGACAGGCCTAATAAGCCTTTTGGACAAGCATTTGCATTTCAAACCAGCTGTTCCAGTTCCCTGTTGTACTTTGCAGATTTGTCTGTAGAAGCACACAAGCTTTTGTCCAGCCACCCTTCCCCCTGCCCCCAACCCTATTGAAATAGGGCTCTTTGTTCAAACTGCTCTTTGCCATTTCCACTATGATCTGCCAACCTCAACTCTGACACTTCAAAGGCACATGAACCTTACAACCTCACCCCAAGGAAATGTGTCGTCCCAAACTGTGTGCTCTTCCACACCTGATACTCTGCCTTTAAGAAACTGTTAAAGGCTCCCCTATGAAAGCTTTTCAATTTTAAGTGCCAGAAGCCTGGTTTTGATTTTCTCTAGATGATGTTTTTCCTCTCTGCATAAGCTCCCTCTGTTCCACGTTTCTGTAGTTCCCAGTAAGTCTGAACACTTTCCTCCTATACCACGTTCCCAACTATACAGTGAGACTCTTGTCTGTCTGACCTTGTATTCCCCTGCGGGTGACAGCAGGGGCACTTCAGGAAACACCATCAGAGGAGCTTTTATCTACCTACACAGAAAACCTAGTGGGTTTTTGCCTCTCTGCTGCACCTCCACAAGAG